AGGGCCCTAAGGCGGGCGCCCGCAGGACAGGTGTGGGGGTCATGACAGCACGTTGAGACATCCTTATAATGTCTCTCTCTCTTTGCCAGCTGGCTAGGTTATGTAAAAGAAGGCAGTTTGTCAGGTGCATGGAACTGATAAACGCAAGGGGACTGTTGGATTGTATTGTCACAGCTGAGCAAAGGCCCGTGTTTTTAAAAGGAAGTGGGAGTTGGGTAGTTCCCCTTCGGTCCTCGTGTTTTGGAGTCATCACTGCAGCGTTCCCAGAGCACATTGTGTGGATCGGGGCAGGGGACAGAGAGGTCACGCCACTCTCAGTGAAACGCTGCGTACGTGTGAGGGAGGTGGAGCAGAGCACCTGTTCATATTGCTGGGTGCTGTGCTTGGGAACATCCCCACAAGGGTTTGGGGCAGACCCTTGCTGGCTTTGCTGGCTGCTTGAGATGCTGTGCCACTGACTGAATGTGTGACTTCGAGCGAGTCAGTCTGCCTCCTTGTCCCAGTCTCCTCTCCTGTAAAATAGGGGTAATGCTTAACATCATAACATCCCTATAGGATAAGTAAGTGCCATACTAAATGCTCTGAGGTCTGTGGAAGGAAGACACAGCTATAGCAGGTGCAGTCATCTTAAACGTCACGTGTCAATGGGTGATGTCAATTTAGAGGTTCACGTCGTGTCTCTGTGGCCGGAGCCCACAGGGTTAGCAGAAGCATTGGAAAAAAGAGTGGGGAGAAGCAAGGAAGGAATGACATGGATGGTGTTTCTGCAATGCGACTCGCCTACCAGCTCCACTTGTCTGTCTGAACCCAGATGGGCCGCGGAACGGGGCCCTATTAGAAAGTCAGCTTGTGGGATGAGTCCCCATTGAATAGCCTCCTTATTGGGTTGGGTATTGACTGAAAGTTTGCATTGCCTCAACCCATATGTTTTCTACTGCAAAGATTTCCATGCTGTGGCCTGTAGGCTTAACTGGCAGCATGACACTGGCTCCCCTTTGTTCCTAGCTAGCACATTTCATTAAAGACAGCTAAAACTGCCCTGAATATTTTCCTGCTATTACTTCTCACATAAGCAGTTGCTATAGATTCCATGCTGGTGCTTTGCAGTTGGAAATGAGAGGGGAGCCAGTCTCCCTACTAGGACGTAGTTCATGCTGGGAAAAGGCTTGAGACCACCTGTGTCTTAAAGGATCCTGCTGAAGTTCTCCGTGACCGACCAGTGAAGACTTCACTCCATCAGCACCCAGCTCTGGTGTGTTTAATTAAAGAGAACACCACCGATTAACAGAGCACAGCCCAACGAGGCAGTGAAAAATGAGAACTTGTAGCCTTTTGTTAAGGAGGGTCACCCACCATGAGTCTGAATGGATAATAAAGCATGATTCCAGCTCTGGGTACGTGGCAGTCCAGAGCCAGGACAGGTTAGCTTTACCTAGCCCATTGGTTCCTTTTTGTTGAGGGTTAGTTTGTATTTTCCTCTAATTAAAATAACCCAGCGTTGCTTTGATTGCAACTTTGAGGCTCTTTCCTTTTGTAGCACCCGTCATGTGAGGCAAGGTCTGAGTCCCTTGCAGCTGTAATACAGGGTACACAAATAGAGCAAAATGAAGCAGTATCAGTGGTGCCTGTACAATGTCTACTAATCACAGTGTTTATCAGCGCAACTATCTGCTGATCAGTGCCACATGGTAGTCACATGCCTATGAGGTATTCAGTGGTTGATAGGGCTAAATCAGCAGCCTGATTACTGTATATCAACACTCTTGACTTTCACAAGATCCCCCAGGTCACACCAGGGAACAGTGCAGTGTTAGGAGCTCAGCTAGTTAGGAGAGTAAAGCATTACCATCTGAAAAAAATCACAAGCTGCAAGCTTATACAGCACAACTTTGTTATTCTGTAGAAAAGTGGGCAGGTCCCCACTTAGAGAAGCAGCTAACCCAGAGTTAGGCTGATGCTGAGCACAAATGATATTCAGGTGAAGATGCATGTTGCACTGGGACCATGCAAACTGTGGAATATGAAGCCGTGTTAAAGTTAGAAAGTGTTGTGAGCAGTCATGTGTTAAGGTTAATACCGTTTCTTGCCTGCATTGTTCTGACTTGCCCCAGGAAGGTTGGTGTGCAGGGGTGTAGCTGAGAGCCAAGATGTCTGGGCTCCATCCCTGCATGGGGAGGCAAAAGTAACTGAGGTTAAGTGAACTTTTCCGTGGCATTTGCCCAGTTCCAGGTGAAAGGCACAGCCCCCTCTGAGGAAAACTGGGGGCTGGTTCTGGGTTGGCAGGGGTCGTTGGAGGGCTCCCTGCAGCACAGCCATCTCCCCTCACCCCAGGACAGAAATGCGGAGGCTTGCAGAGGGAAGGCACTGCCATGCCTCTGCCTCCCAGCTCCATTCCTGCTGCTGCATCCCCACTTCCTGGCACTGGCAAGGCCCTGCCTGGGCAGTAATTTTCAAGGGGGGTGGGAAATTCATCCACAGAGCAGGAATAGGGGGAGGGAGGGGGTTCGCTGGGGTGCTGGAGGACTGCAGATTGCTTGTTTTATCTCTGTGGAGCAGACTGAAGTTACCCTAATGCAAGCTGGGTAGCACAGGCCAAAGTTAACCTTCACCTGAAGTTGCAGGACCTAGAGATGCTCAGAAAGCACGTAGCAAGAGTTTCAATGTGCAGGTGCTCAAGTTTTAAGTGTCCTTACTATGATCTAAATATAATGTGTAACTTCACCTTCCCTCTGCAAAGCACAGGAGTTTGTGGGTCATAGACTGTGCACGGCCTGTAATGCAGCCTGACCCAGGAAATAAATACAGCTAATTAGTTTGAAAAAGTTAAATCTGGAGCTTGAAGGGTTTAAAGTGAAGAATACATCTGGTTCCACACAAGCACCTCTTTCATCTCAGTGAGTGTTTTCTTCTGCCTATCTGAGTATTAGGAGTGTTTTTTGCCTTTAGGGAATAAGCAGGACTGTCTGCGATCTACAGAAGTTATGGCCCTGTTAGGGAGGCTAAACGGTTCAGACCCTCAACGCTCCACGCACCTAAGGGAGACATCCTGGCCCCGTTGAAGGCAAAGACAAAACAGTGGAGCAGCAAAGAATGAGCAGATGCATTGATATAAACACAGTGCTGCAACCTGTATTAATTAAAAATGTATTAATATCTAATTAACAGCACTGCGTGGATTAGCACTGAGTAGGTTTGTGGAACTGAGAGTGTTCAGAAGCAAAATCTGAATGCATTCAGGCAGGGGCAGATGTTGAGGAGAAAGCCCAGGTGTATGTAAGAATTGCAGATGGAAGAGAGCAAGAACGGTGGCAGGAAGGCAGAGGAACTGAGCAGTAGATCAGAGCGAAGCGATGCAGAAGTTTAAGGGTAGAGCAGGGAACCAGGTGTGGAAGAGAAGAGAGCCACAGCAGAACCCAGAGTTGGCAGCACCCCCCCCCCAAATGGTGTGGTAGCTTTGCTTTGTGTGTCTCTGAGAACAGGTGCACTTTATCCCTGCAGCCCTGCCTTGGATGTCAGTGAGTAATCCAGATGAGGATCCGGATGTTCCCAGTGATACCGGTATAGATAAGCTGATGGCACGCAACTGCTCTGCTAAGCTCTAGGTTAACAACTATGCAAAAGCAACTTTCTAGGGACATCCTCAAAGTCCAGATTGGCATCAGAGCCTGAAAGCAATACCGATGCCTTAGGGACTGCCCAGGATGTTTCTGTGCTTCCTGTTAGACTAGGGGTTATGTGCTGCTGGGAAAGATCAGAGAGAAATGCCAGTGTTTTTGCCCATCCATTTACTTCCAGTGCCTAGCAGGGATTTGAGGAAGTCAGTTAAGCCTGTGTCCTTGGCGAGCCTTAGAGCAGGACTTGTGTGTCCTAGCTACTGCCGTATATACTCAGGCGGGTCACTTTCCCTCTTGACGCCTGTTTTTCCCCTTGGCTGGACGGTGAGCCCTTGGAAGCAGGGACTGCCACTTACTCTGTGCATGTTCAGTGTCTGGCTCAAGGGGACCCTTGTAATAAAAATGATATTATAGTCAGTCTTCCTGCTTGTTAGAGGTGCTTCTCAGTTTGTTTTCCATTACTTCACTATCACATTCCTCCTTTTTTTTAAAACGCCACGTGCTGAAGGGGGGCAGCAGGAGATGATGTAGAACCTGGAATCTTTTTTAGAACTGTAATGATTATATTTGAATCCTTTCCTCACCCGTTGCAGAGCTCCCTTTAGTACCAGCGGGTCCTAGGCAGATCGGCTTCTTTCCTAGGACAGTGCATTTCCCAGACTTGCTGCTTTTGGCAGTTCTTTCTCCCCACCCCCAACATTGATGCCATCACTGTCAATATTTGTCATGTACCCAGGGTGTGCCTGGGGCTTAACGAGAGCCTGGGGAAAGACCAGAAAATCACAGGGTCGGCCCTGAGTCTCCATAGGTGAGCTCCCAGGCAGTACATCCAGGGAGCATACAAAGACTGCAACTCCGTCATGTTGTTAGAGGTTGTTTTTACGAATCCAAATGTGCTCAAATAGTAGACGTTGTATTTCCAGAGAGGCTTGGAGGAGGTTTCATCAGGGGGTTGTCTGTGTTGCAATAGCTGTAAGGTTTAGCATCTTGCACACATTGAGATGAACGGTAAGCATATCTGGCAGGAGCTGCAGTGAGAGCATTTCAAATAGAGCCTTCTATGAAAGAAAGTCAACCTTCAGAGTCTGGGCAAATCAGCACCAGGGCATTGATGGCTGGTGGTTTAAAATGTGCCAGAGTTAAAAGCAACCTCTGATTTATATACATTTGTTTCCCTACAGATTTTGGGTTTGGAAACTTCTATAAAAGCGGGGAGCCTCTGACCACCTGGTGTGGAAGCCCACCCTATGCAGCCCCTGAGGTCTTCGAAGGGCAGCAGTACGAGGGACCCCAGCTGGATATCTGGGTATCTTGATTTAGTTACTTTTTCACAAAGTTAAAATTACCTTTTAGACCCTGCTAACATGAGAGTCAATCCTGAATTTCTTTTCGGCCACAGACGGTCTGATCTTCTGTAGCTTTATTTCTCTAAACAAAGCCACAAAATAACCAGGTGGCACTACAGTTTTGAAGCCCGAAACCTTGCTTTGTAAAGTCACTTTGAGTTCTAGGTAAGCCCTGAGGTCACGCTGCAGGTACACACAAAGTCACCGCAGGAGAGAATGTAGTTACCCAGAAAGCTGCCCCTGTCTCTCTTCTTGGTCTGAGCAGTGATTCCTTCTCCCCTAGGAGTTTGAATCCAGTTAAGGATTTAAATTCTTGACAGGGCTGCAGGAACGGTCTGAGTCAGTAGCATGAGGGGAAGAGAATGAGCCATGTGCCTTGTGCAGGGGAGCTGCAGCAGATGCATGCTCTTGATCAATGGTTGCCTTTCCCTGCATGCTGCTTGCATAGAAGAGGACAGAGAAAACAGCTCAAATCTCACAAAGTAAAATAGTCATTATCACGATGCACCAAAGAGGTCCTTGCATTCTTCATGGCCCTGTCAGACCTAATGCTTTTCACTCTTCATTTGTTTCTCATTGTTTTTTTGGTGTCCTGGTACTTTATGATGATGGTCCTGAGGCAGCCAGAGAAACGGTGCCATTTGGCAGGCTCTGTTTTGGCACCGGGATTGCAGTGCTGTATTTATTGGAGAGACGCAGACTGATATCAGTCAGTGCTCAGTTTGCAAGCAAGGCAATGCAGAGAAGTTCGCCTTGCAGCTGTTCAGCTAAAAAGGTCCACTTTGTTTTAACCAAAAGATGCTGTCCCCAGCCATGCTCTTGTAGAAGGGCTAAAGGTTGCAACCCTGCTGGACCCATTAGCCTGTGACTCAAGTGTGAACCTGTTTACATGCTCCTTAGCCATGCTCAAGGGTAAGAAGAACAGGGGCCCTGTTTGAATATGAGAAGTGAATTGCAGAATTTGGTAAATATTTTGCTAAACTTTTTTTAAGATCCCCAAACAGGAACAGAATCCCCTTGCAAACGATGAAAACCAGAAGCACGTTTGCTTTCTAAGACAAAACCTCTGAAAAGCAGTTTTCTCTTCCCCCCCCGCCCCCTCGCCCTGCACCGGGACCCGAGTTCAGGATTCTGCATTCCTCCCGTGACAGCTGATGGGGAGGGACTGACATCATAGCTTGAGGAACTGGTGCTCAGAAAGTTCTGAGCTTGCCGAGGAACCCACAGTCCTCAGTGCAGACCTCAGCAAATGCATAGGGAAGGAAATGGATTTAGCCTTAAAATCTCGGTGTGCTTGCAAAATTAGAGCGTGCTGAGAATCTTTGTCTCTTTCCCTTGACACCCAGTGCCAGCTCATGGCATGAACCCCTGGCCGGATACTTCATCTGGGGTGGCGCTGTAGTTGATTTTGGCAAATCTTGCAGGAGTTTTCGCTTGCATTGCCAATTCTCTCACACGCGCTCAGAAATGGCTCTGGCGGGTGGACATGTTATGTAATTCCTTTAATGAGCCTTCCACACAGCCGGACTCGCTAGCTGAGTATCTCATTGCCATCATAGTTTTTGCTAACCCCAGGAGGAGGATTTCCCACAAGCTTTTGCAAATCAGTGGGCATTAAGAAATGGAGGGTTTTGGATTTGGGACGGCTGTGACTCCTATTGTTTGAACAGCATTCAAATGAAGCCAGGAGTGTCTCCGTCTCGCTTGAAGTTGGGGCTCACTTTTCAAGTGCCTTTCAGTCACGTGCGTGGTGTTTTCTGCTAGCAGCCAGAGCCTCTGGCCCATTACATGCCCCAGCTTTGCCTGCTTATCAGCACAAGGTACTGGAAGCCTAGCTATGGGGGTTAACTGTTCTTTGTGCCTAGGGACTTTGGGAAATGCGATTCCTTTATTTTCATCGAAGCTCCTGTTTTCTGCAGCTTGTAGAAGAAGCTAATGTTTCCTGTGGCAGAGGTTGCCTAGAGAGTCTCGCAGAGAGTAATGCACATGTGTATTTTGGAAGATGAAAGTGGGAATGCTCTCTTTTTCTTCCAGAGCATGGGTGTAGTTCTGTACGTCCTAGTTTGTGGAGCGTTGCCTTTCGATGGACCTACCCTCCCCATTCTGAGGCAGCGAGTTCTGGAAGGAAGATTCAGGATCCCTTATTTCATGTCAGAAGGTAACAAATCTGTCCTTATGCTTTGGGGATTCAGAGTCCTGGAGATGTCTCTCCATGTGTCCTGCAAAGACCTGCAGATGGGAGGCAAGGCAGCTGGTACTGGCAGCTGGAAGTGTTCTTGGTCTGCGCTGCTGAGTACCAAGTGTCACCTTGTCTCTTGAGTTGGAGGCAGATAAGCTTGAACTCTGAGCTAATGGCTGACACTGATGCTTCTCAGCGGGGTAGATTAGCCCATGCAGAGGTTTGGGCTGTCATGGCTAGATGTCCTCCACAACCCGAGTTAACATGGGTGGCTCTGCTACACTGCACATTGCAGCGTTGACGTGTACCCGAAGTTGGTTGAGAGTGATGGAAAAGATCATAGATCTAGTGGAATGGCCACTTCCCTACCGCTGATGAGAAACAGAACCACGTTCCCAAACTCAAGCAGCAGTTCTTTCTCATTTTTCCAAGGTATAAAGATTTGTTTTAGTCTGGAAAAAGAACGTGATGGAAACAAAATGGCCATCGGCACAATGCAGATTGGCTTTGCTCTGTTTTGCTTTGACTACATCTGTTCAGCACAAGCAAAGAGAAAGGGGAAAAAATTCACAAGCGGTTTGTATGACAGATTACCGCAGTCAGATCTCCAGCGTGTTGCTCGGATACCTTGAGATCTCTGCCTTGTCTGATGGTCCCAGCTGTGCTGCATCTCCTTTCTCCCTTGCCTCCGAGCACAGGCAAGCAGGAGGCAATAATACAGGCATTGGCCTGCAGGCTGGGACCCTTAGACCCTTCTATGTTAAAGGGATCCTGAACCTTACACTTTTTTTTTTTTAATTTTCCAATTTTTTTTTAAAAAAGTCTCAGTTCCCTTTACATCAAAGGTGTCATGAACTCTTTAATCCTCTTTGAAAACATATGTTAGTCTTTCTTTCCCCTTGATAGTGAATGGCCTTTGGTACCAGCCCAAGAACAGCCACACAAGACATACCCAAGGCCCCTCCCTTTAGCCTTCCCCTGCCTCTTGCTTCGTAGTCCATGCTCTGCCTTCTCAAGATACATCCACAGTGCACTCACTACAGAGATTGCAACTAGTGTTAACCATCCAAACCACCTGCAGACTGCCAGGCTTGAGCACAAGCAGGCTATCTGTAGAAGCTCAGAGCTCTTTGTGGGCTGACTGCCCTGGTATTCACCCAGCTGCTTGGGCTGGTTTTGCAGCCTGCACCGAGCTCCGTGCTGGTGTGGCTGCACAACCAGCAGTACCTGAGCTAGCTGGCTTAAAGCTAGCTGGAGCTTGTCTACATGGGCTGCAGTTGCTTCTGAGACTGCAGTGCAGATGCACCCTGGGTTTCACTTCCAGCTCAGCTGTTACTGCTGAAACCATCTTGCAAGGAGTGGGAAGGGCTGTGAGCCGTTAGCACAGTGCTGAAACCCACTGAGGTAAACACAGGAATAAATAGCCAAAAACGTACGCGGGGCTGACCCTGCCCGCCCCTGAGGAAGTCCGTTTGTAGCGACAGCACTGGAGGCACAAAGTGCTCCGCTGCAAACGTGGCTGTTGAGTTTGAAGCTTAATGCACTGTGTTCTCATTACATAAAACTGCAGCCCCAGCTAATGCTACCCTCCCCTTCTGAGCCCTGAAAGACGTTGCAGCTTTAAACCAGGGTTTTCAATCCTGCCCGGCACTTTGGGGTGTCAGAAAGCAAGAGCAGCCGTGTGTGTTCAGAGTCAGTTTTGCAGCCAAAACTTAGAGTGTCTCCATGGCTTTTGGGTGAAAGCTCAGACTTCAAGCCAGTGCCTACACTGATGCTCAACTACAGAAGCAGCTTAATCCTTTAAATTTGTGCCTTTGGGGTCTGGTGTAAAAGACAGTCCAGTATTCCAACCCCAGTTCATGGCTTTGGGCTAATTATTTCAACCCTCCTGCGGCGTTTTTTCCAGCTGGCAGGGGTGGAAGGATGGGTTCTGCCCTGTGCTGCAGAGGTTTGGTGAGGCATCTTCAGTTAAGGTTGGCACTGTGCTTAGAATATAGCAAGTGGCTTCTCAGGGTATTAAGTACTAATGGGCCTTTTGGACAGGAGCTGCCTAGGAGTAATGGCCTCACTCACCAACTGGCACATTTGAAAGGAGTTGATCTTGTTCTTGCTGCACATCCAAGGCCTGGGCTTGAACGGTAATTTTAACTTTCAGGAAACTTATTGAGAACAGACGCAAGGTAAAAGGCAGGCAGCTTCCTGTTGTTGTTGCTGCCTCAGTAAGTGTCAGATGAGTTGTGTTTGCAGCACAACCCTGTGCTGATGGGGGAGCGGCCTGTTCCTGTCTTAACCTTATTTTTATCCCAACAGAATGCGAGCACCTGATTAGGAGGATGCTGGTCCTAGACCCATCCAAGAGGCTGACAATTGCTCAGATTAAGGAGCACAAGTGGATGCTAATAGAAGTTCCTGTGCAGAGACCCATTCTCTATCCGCAAGGGCAGGAGAACGAGCCTTCCATTGGAGAGTATAATGAGCAGGTTTTGCGGCTGATGCACAGCCTTGGAATAGACCAGCAGAAAACGATTGAGGTAAAATCGACTTCCAGAAAGACTTTATCCCAGGGGGAGCTCGTTCCTGCTTTGCTAGTCTAGACGTTACCTGAGTTTCCTTGTAATGGCCTTCCCTACACTTGCGACCAAGTCAGACTGCTGGTGTGTCTCTGCACAGACCTTCACCAGGGCTGGCACAAGTCACAGGAGTTTTTGCCCCAGATCCTGAAAAATGTAAGCCTTCTGAAATGTGCAGCAGCTGCTCTATCTAGATCCGGCCCCCAGTTCTTTGTGACTGACAAATGGAAGAGATCAGAGGAGTTTTTCGAGAGTCCCTTGTAGGGAAAGTTTTCAGTAATGAAAGTGTTTGCTCATGCTAGGTGTGCTGTGGGCAGATGTTGTGCAGTGCTCCCACAAACAGCTTCATCAGTCCTTCTCTGTCCTGGCCTTCAGGCCCAGGCTCCCCCCATGCAAATTCTGCCAGTCGTAGCAGAAAGCGCACAGATCATATCAAAATGGGGGATGGGAAGAAGCAGCCTAACTTTTACTAGTGTTAGGAGTCTGAATTGGAACCCAGCTCAATGCATTCATTTTGTATGTCCCAGAGCCTCCAGTCCTGCATGCAGATCTTTTAGTTTATTAATTGAATTAATATGCAATTCCAGATATTTGGTATTGGGTCACATGGCAATGTATGGTGGAGCGAGCGGAAAGGCTTTGCAATGAGCTACACTACATTTAAATCTGCACTCCATTTAAAATGGCTAGTGGGATGCAGAGAGCGTGTAGCTTACAAGTACCCCTCTTACAGGGATCTTCATGCCAGCAAGGCTGATTCTTAGCCAGACACTGTGCTCCATTAGATTCACAGTGTGGTGTTGGGGAAATCATTGCCTGTCAAATGGAGAGGGGCAAACTCAGAAGTCAAAGTAGCTAGGTTTTCAGCTTCTGAAAGAATGGAGCGTGCATTTCAGAAAAGTCAAAGGGAGCATAAAAGCAGCAAGCAATTGCCAGTGTCTCTCTTGGATTCCAAATCGTGCCTCTGCCCAGAAATAAAAGCTGAAAGGCTCCCTATGGAGTCGGTGCCATCATTTCCTTCAGAACGGGTGGTATTTTTAGCCCATGTGGAGGCTGCAGTTTTTTTAAGTTTCCTGCCACAAAAGGCTTGTGTCTCAACACACCAGGACTTAGTGCTCCATTGCCCCGGGGTGTGGAAGGGGCGCTCTTCATGGTGGAGCCCTAGAATGTGGCCCCCACTGAGATGAGCAGACACCAAGTATCATGGCAAGGAGGAGCGTGGGCTCCGCACTGACAGGGAAGGCCAACCTAAACCTCAGAGCCACCAAATGTGCAGACTGCAGAGTCCTAAGCTGGACCTCCAGCAGCACTCCAGCCCGACCCTGGAAAAACTGCGGAGCTTCAGGGCACGGTGTCCGTCCTACAGCTGCTCACTTCCTGGCCTGCCCTTTCTGCATTGAGGGTTGTGCCTTACCCAGATATGCAGGCCTCAAGCAGAAGTAGTTTGTCTGCAGTCTGCAAGCCAGTACTCAGGAGGGCTTTACTTAAGAAAATAAGCAGTATAATGTGGATATCTTTAATGCGAACTATATGGTCAGATATAGATGCAGAAGGCAACTCCCACAGCTTGGGGGCTTTGAAAGCAACCTCAAGGCCCGACTCTGAGTATCTATGCAGATGTCCCCACAGCAAGCTCCCACATGCAGCTGCAACTACTTGGTCTTGTCAACTTATAAGGGCCATTGAGTCTTAAGAGGCTGATGCTCTCTTTGCCTGGCGCTTGGCTTGGAACTTCATCTCCTCCAGTTGATCACTGTGATGCTTGCTTGCAGCCCTGTCACCTTTCAAGTGTTTTGTTTTGATTTTGCTGAAGTGCAGTTTCCACCTACTTCCTTATTTTGTGGTTTTGGAGCCTGGATGTTCCAGTTCCCCTCCCAGCTTCCCCCCTAGGAACAAGTGAAATACACATGACATGCCTGCATTCAAACCTTTGCACTTCTCTTTTTCAGTCACTGCAGAACAAGAGTTATAACCACTTTGCTGCTATCTATTACCTGTTAGTGGAGAGACTCAAGTCACATCGGAGCAGCTTCCCCGTGGAGCAGAGGGTCGATGCTCGCCAGCGTCGGCCCAGCACCATTGCTGAACAAACAGTCGCCAAGGTAACTCCTCGTTTCAGGCCAAGAAGGGGCTGAGGACTGGACAGGATGTTCTGGTCTAGTGAGGTCTCAGTCCTTGGTATCTCCATGCAGAGGAACCTTTGTCCTTCCTGGGATCCCTAATCCCAAGCATTTGTTGCCCGTTGTGTGTGTCTCTCTTCAGAGCCAAATTGAGATAGGCCAGTTATCTGACTCAGTCTCCTTTAGAGCACAGTGGGGAGAAGTAAAGTGTCAGGAGATGCCCAAGACAAATCATTAGGGCCGAGCTGTGTAGTTTTATATCATGTTACACATAAGGCATTGTTTCCTTGTGGTATCTGAGCTCCAGGTAGTCAGACCATACTGCCTTCAGACACATGGTGCCTCAGGGGTGCCTGTGCTTGTTGTTAAATACATGGTGTTTCTGTTGAGACCAGCACTGGTTTCTCCTGAGACCCAGCAAGTGTCTAATTTCTCTAGGGATCCCTCAGCACAGCTGGCTGAACCTATTGGAGATGGTTCCCCAGAGCTGCGAGCTCCTCTGTGCAAGTAGATTCCTTGTGGCGAATAACTAATGACTGAAGACGCGGGTGTCACGTGCTCTTTATCAGCATACCCCTGGGAACTGGGAGCTCACTCCTATGCAGCTGACCCCTCTGGTGCCTCCACTCCAAAGCTGCCTGCTCTGTCTTTTGCGTTCACTTGCAGAACTGAAGGAATCTGTGCAGGCTCCAGGGCACTTCTTTTTTTGCCACTTCATCACTCTCACTTTTTTTCCCTGGTGATTTCCTCCAAGACAAACAGGTAGCATCCAGTTTGTCCTGCCTTGTCTCAGTCAGTCCCTTAGAGTTGCTTTTACATTTCCGTCCGCCGTTTCGTTAAGGTGCAGAGATACTGCGCTGCCTCTGATTTCCATTAATGCACAACTGGCAACATGAAAGACTTAACCTCGTTAACTGAATTGGCCTAAGATGAGTTGTAGATTGTAACAGCATCAAATACATATTCTTTCATGTTCCTGGTCCCTCCCACATGCTGAGTGCTGTTGCATTTAGAAGTGCTTGAGTCTAGTGGCTCTCGGTATTTCTTTCATTCCGGCTGCTTTTCCAGGAGGCAGAGTGGCTCTGGTTTGGGTTGCAGGACATTTTGCTTGGTTTGGATTCCCTGAAGTGGAAGGCATTAAACTGCATCAGGTCTGAAAGCACCAGTCTGGCGCACGACTGCCCAAAGGAACGTACCCATATGCCGGTTGGCAGTTTGAAGGAGACGGCTGAGACACAAATGACACTAGATGTGTCTGCACTAGAAACTTTACCACCACTTGCCTGTTGAGCCTGCCTCTTGTTCAGCTGTAGAGCTAGGAACCTGGTGTAGGCAAATCTGTGTCCAGCTTTGGTGCTACCATGCTTATGGTAAAATAGTGACTGGAGTGCTGTCTGCACTACAGCTCCCATCAGTCTACCCCAGCCTTTGAGTCTGCAATTAATATTTATTGAGTTTTTCAAATGTCTTGTGTGGCTCCTTGGCCCAAGATGTGCGATTGCACCACATCACCCATGCCTGTGTTACACCATCCTGTGACTCAACCTAAGGCTGTGGCAGAGCCGACTCTGCTCGCTGTCCCCAAGGAACAATGGAAGAATTTTGCCCCTTTTTATCCCTTTGTGCAGCACAAATGTTTGTTGTTCATCATTCTACAGCAACTTGCTTAATGAGCTCAAAAGACTATATGGATGAGGCATTTCTCCGGGAAGAATAGATTATATTCCCTACCTAGGAACTGGGCTGTGCCTTTAGTGCTTATGACCTCAGTATGCCAGTGGCCTTGAAGGAAGGTCACTCAAACAGTGTGCATCTCCCTTTATCCAACACAAAACTTGACTAGGGTCAGCTAGAATCAGAGGAGTCCTGGTCATGGGTGTTAGGGGGTTTTTGCAATGAGCTGTGTTTCCTTTTTTCCTGGTTTCCACTTAATTCCATTTGGTTTTGTTGACTCTTGCAGGCACAAGCTGTGGCGGCTTCTGTGAACTTGCGTTCACAGAATGTACGGCTGCTGAGGTCTCCGGGTCTGCCCTCAACCTCTGCTGCAGAAGTCTTCTCCTTCCCCCCATCCAGCTGCCAGGCGGAGTCAGCCTTCATGGAGGAAGAGAGAGTTGATACACCAAAGGTACGTCTTGGAGTTATGCGTCCTTTTCTGTACATGGGTGCACGCAACAAACTGCCATAAGGCAAGCAAAGCTAAAGTGCATTGGCTGGTCTGTGGGAAATGCAGGGGAGTTTGATCAGCTTCCATCGAGGGGTCAGCTACCTCCTGTTTCTGTGCGCTTCAGGCAGTTATCACAGAGTAACCAATGCTCTGTAACTCACCTCATAGTAACCTGTGTGTCCAAGCCCTCGGTCTCTGAAATTATAGGGATATTGGTGCTGTTCATATTGGGACTGCCTAGCACGTTTGATATTAGAAATACCTGCAGCCTCGCATGAATTAATTAGAAGCCTTTGCGTTTGGGGTATGTCACCTTCGTAATGGAAAACGCTTTTGAGCTAGAGCTGGGTTCTCACTCTGTCAACTTCAGTGGATTAACTGTAATTCATACTGGCTCTTTACAGGGCAGGTCCCAGCTGGCCTTGTCTGGTGCATGCTCTTATCCCACAGGAAATAGGAGGTGGCTTAGCCATCAAAGCAGAGCTTTCTGTAGAGAGCTCGATGACCCAAGAAGTCCCTTTCAGTCCTGTGTTCCAGGCTACAAGCCTGCTCTGTGTTCAGTTGTATTTTCATGTCAGAGGAAATATGCTTTATTAACCTCACCGCTTCTTGTAACGTCATCCTGAGGCGCAAGGTGAGAAGAGACAGGCCTGATGAATATAGTGCAACTTGCAGACTTGATACAGTCACCTTTCTGTCCATATGCAGTGTAGAGTCTCAAACAAGAGTTCATACATTCTGCATAGACGACCCCCTGAATCATTGCAGGGTGTTCAGCCCATTAGACCATGATATGGGGGAGACTGGTTAGCGGGGAAAGGGCAAGTAAGGATACACATGGCCAAAGAATTCTTTTCACCTACCTCCCTGGATCACGACATGTCTGTTCTGCGAGGTAGACGTTGCACGCACACCCGTACTGCACGTGGGGAGGTGAGCGATGGGCAAAAAGGGAATTCACTGCTCACACCTGTGGTAGCTGTACTTGTCGCCTGCTTATTTACCTGGCTCCCATGGGTCTCATTCAGACTTTCCAAACACCCCGGGGTGCTGTTTAGGAAAACAAATCCGTCTACCACACAGGTGTTTCCTACTTCTCAAACGCACGCTGTTCTTCAGTCCTCTTTGTGCTGAGACTGCACAGGTGATGTATATATTTTTGTTCAAAACAGTAGACGGATGAGAAGAGAAGGCCATATGGACCTTAAGAATTAGCTTGTATTACTAGCTAAATGTACTTAGGATTTTGTTCTTCTGCTTGGCTTATTATGAATTATAGGAAAATGGGCAGACATAAGCATGATAGCGTATGTATGTGATAGTTTTTTTTCTTTTAGTTCTTTTCTCGATGGATAAATAGCCTGCAGGACCTTCAGGCTGTCAGAAAATATTCGAACAGCAGCGTCTCAAAGGGCTTGCAGCTGATCTTCTCAGCAAGGCCATTCCTGTAGCTAGAAACGTGTATGAAATCAGCTCTGCAGACCGTGTAGAATTGCAGTCCCATTTAATGGATTTTGTTTCCTGTAATCAGACTGGAAGATTTTGTGTAGGCCTCCCACACCTCCACAGCTAACACACTTAACTGAACTCCCCTAATAGGATGCGACGGCTCCACGGCCATACAACTGTACGGCTACAGCTCCGCTCTCTGAAGGGAGCTGCAATGAAGTGAGCTTGATGCATTTTGCCATCACACTGGGATGTCTATAGCTGAGAGAGGCAAGCTGGCACGAGGGAGAGAACTTGGGAGCTCTTGTGATGGGGATGCAGGTTGTTCATGGAAATGTTTCCATGAAGCCTCATCCTCATGTGCTCATTTTTGTTGTTCTTGTGCATCTGTCACGGCAGCGTGATTTTAATCTTGGTATGGCACATTCACCGGGGCTTTACCTCCCGCTTGCCACTCTGATGGGTTATTACTTGGTGATGGTTAGCTGTCGACAGTAAGATTTATTTTGGATCTTTTTTCCACATCACTGACCCAAATGGATCCATGCGGAGTCTCTTCCAGTGGAAAGCCTACTGAGTCAGCCGTCTTGCACCACCCTTTACAAACTAAATTGGACAGCCTAGACCCCCATGCAGAGATGACAGTGTGGGGTCAAGTCATACTTGCCTTAGAGGCACTGCCACAGCTGTGTACTGCAGCACACTGCCATTGCGGGAGACAGGGTACTGGGCTCGATGGACCTATGGTCTGACCCGATCCATGACACTTTTATTATGTTCTTATGTGCTTGTCTGTCACGGTTTCTCAAAGCATGACCCCTGTATCATTAGTGGACTGCAGAGTGCCACTTGGTCCCGTGATGTTGGCTTTCCTCTTCCTTTCCAGCAGCTGAATTGTGTATTAAATGCACTGTAAAATATATTACGCTTTCCAAGTAGGAAGCTATATTTGTTGCCATGAAGCTGTTGTTGCCAAAGGGGAAAAGCAAGAGTTTTTGCCTTGCGAAGACTCCATGAAATCCACTGCAGTGATGTTTAAAAACTTTAGATGCATGATGGATAGATGCCCCACAAGTAGGAAGGGAGGGGTCTGCATGAGAGATAATCCACTTCATGGAAACAATTTGAGCCACTGACTTAAAATATCAGGCGACAGATCAAGCGGTGTTCTTTGTAAATACCGTCCTTATATTATCCCACCAGCCCAAAATATTTATAGCTATTCACCACAGTGCTGTAAATATTTTCCAGAGGCAGTGAAACACAGGCTGCTGCTATGACCATTGTGTCAAATAGCAACTGCCAGTGCTGACAGGTTGTTTTCAAAATACCAAAGGGCTGAAAATAATGTTCCCCAATTGACTTATTGCCCTACCACTTTTGCATAGGAGACCACAGGCGGCAGTTTTGTCCTATTTGAATATGAACAAAAGACCCTTGCACCTGTACTGACAGTTGCTGTAGTTTTGTTTGTGCACAGATTTAGTACTGATAAAAGTCCAAGGACCTAAGAGCAGTGGTGAAAGCACAGCAGGGCAGTGGCCAGGTCCTGCCGAAGCTTTGGCTCTGCCAGCGCACCTCGAGCCTGCAGGTCCAGCCCCGACCCCTCATGCAAACTGACTCTGACCTGCGGCAGCCTCCTCTCCTGCTCCCTTCCAGTCTGCTGCACTGCCCCATACAGTTGTCTTTGAGAAGGAGCAGACTTTCTAAAGAACAGGAGCCAGGACCATAGGGGGAACACCCAGCTAAGACTGAACAACCCAAAGTCCTTTCTTTATTAGAATCTGAATCCCCAGCTTGTTTGCTGTGAGCATGTGCATGATGTTACTGGCCCCTAACATGTATATTTGGAAAGAGCCGAGTGTTTGAGAACAGCCCATCAGCTGTTTTCAGCAGTCGCCTTTTGGTGAGTGGTCACGTGATATCAAAAGTTTAGCCTGTTGTCTTGCCCTACAATCTGGAAACTATTGGAAGTCAGAACGGTATAAAAAATGGCCTTTTTGTATTATTCAGTAGATCTACTCTTTGTTTATTCTGAGTCGTGGATCTGATTTTTGGGTATAGCTGGTCCGTGGCTAACCCAGCTATCAGAAGGGAAGTTGGATTCAATTCTAGATGCTGCAGCAGCAGAATTGTTAACTAAGTGCTAACTGCAGAATATTTTACTTTTGATGATGCCGGAGGTGTCGCGGGACAGAGCTTGGAAGTGCTTAATTCTCAGGTGTGAAATAGCATTACTTTATTTGCAAACAGGTTCTTTATTCCTAGAGCCAGAGAGGCAAAGGTAGCATGCACTCTGCCACTTTGCAGTGCTGCTTCTCCAAGCCTGTAAGCCAGCATCAGGAAAGCATTCAGTACCTGACTTGTCAGATCACATCTCCCTGGCCACCCCCTTGGTAAATATTAGCTAGCAGTGCTCCTCCATGGTTTACACTGGTACCAGAGCAGCAAGTCCATCCCTGAGTGGTACTTCCTGGTGACAAAACATCAAACAATAAATCCTTATTAAGCACATGAGAAAAAAGACCAACAGGTCTTTCTTTGCAGCAAACAGGGTGTGGCTTTCCAATTGCGTTAGCTTAATCGAGTTAATTTAATACAACTGAAAAGCTCTCTTTTCAGCCTGCAGCCTAAAGAGCATTGTGTCTGAAGCCATTCTGGCTGGCCATATTTAGCCCAGAGGGGAAATTTAGGCTAGGGCATGGCCAACTAACATGCCTTCAGACATGGCAGCCTGGATCTGAGCCCTCAGTAAGAGGTCTTTTAATTTTGTTACCACCACTGAGAACCAGACTTTGCCAGTCAGTGCAGGTGTTGGGACCCGTCAGTGTGGCTTCAATAGAGATGTAGCTGCTGGATCTTCCAGTGTGTTGAGCAGTGCCTCTAGGGAGACATCAGGCTGGCACTGGGGGGGGTGTTATTTTTGCAGAATCCCCTGTGGCAGCGGGAGGCTCTTTGAGGTCTCTCACTATACATCTTCCCAGTACAAAAAGCGACAGGAATCAGCTATCTCCCTGTCTTAAACAAAATGCTGGTCCCCTCCCCAAGCCCACACCATGACACCAAGAGGGATTCCAGCAGCTGAAGCCAGGGCAGAGGCTCACAGGACTCTGGGTGTCATCTTCTCTCATGCATTTAATAACTGGAACCCACAACATTTCCAGCTTGCATTGGGAACAGCTCTCCTGGGCGAATACGGCTTTGCTCTGGACCGCATTCAGAGGTTTCAGTCAAGTTTATAGCTCTTGCCTTTTCCTCTAGACCAATGCGGCTACAACCTGGATACCTAGCTCTCTAGCAAATGCTTGGACAAGGGGAATGGTCTTCTGTGCTAAAAAAATAATGATAGTTGGGGCTGTTGGTTAATTTTTTTCCTATAAAACAAACAATGCGAGCTCTGCAGTATAGCCCTGGAATTTGACTGACCTCTGCCTGTTCTTGTTTGGTTACTGTCAGAAAATGACATTAGCACAATACTGACTAGCATTAGTAAGGAATGTATATAAAAGCCC